ATCGTCTCTATGGAGAGAGCGATCTGGATGTACTTTGCCGGCATGGAGTGGAGGAACTTGGAGACCGCCTCCTCTTCATCGATGGTGACGCTGTGGCTCTTCAGCTTGCTGATGAGCGTCTGCAGGCGGAGGGAGAAGTCCTCCACCGTTTCACCATCCTTGAACTTGAGGTTTGCGTACTCCTGCTTTAGAAGCTGGGCCGTCGTCTTCTTTGCGCGGTCGGAACCGACGTGCATCGCTGCAATGGCCTCCCATGCCTCCTTAGCTGAGCTCTTTGTCCCCAAGGGTTCCCTGTACTCCGCCGGTACAGCAGCGAGGATAGCCTCAAACGCTGACATGTCGTCTTCTTCCACGTCGGTGCCCTTGTCAACAGCATTCCAGAGCCGTCGGGCTCTGAGCTTGACCTTCATGGTCACCGACCACTCTCCATAGTTAGTGCGAGTCAGCGTCGGCCAAGTGGTGCCACTGACCTCCCGCACCGTGTGAACAACTACCTCCGGTAGTGGCTGGGCAGCCACGACAGTGCCACTGCCATCGCCCAACTCCGAACCGCCTGTCATCGCTATCGGTTAGAATGACGACGGCGCTTGTACGGCTCTGATACCACTTGTTGGCCCACAGTTAGCCTCCCAGACCACTAGTCTCCCAGACCACTGGCCCCAGACCACTAGTCTCCCAGACCACTAGCCCCAGACCACTAGTCTTCCAGACCACTCCGTTGGTCTCACAGGATCACCGGCTCACGACAGTGAACCACTCCAGCCGATCTTGCCGAGCACCGGCTCAGGCGAGTGGAGCACTTGACGGTCTCGCCGAGCACGCGCTAGTATTGCCGAGCACACACTAGTCGTGCAGACCACGTACCGGCGTTGTCCGTACCCACACACTACGGATCGAGCTGGAAGAAGAAGGAAGAACAGAGCAAGCACGCACAATACAAGACAACAACGTTGGCCGAAGCCCTGTCTGTGTGATGGCAAATCTGAGCTCTCTTTACTGAGTTGCCATACATATCTATTTATACAACTCTAACTATCTAGTCCATGTATGCAGCGCCATGCTTTGCACAAGAATTAGATAACTTTGCAGTGGTTGACTGACTTCTGCGCCACCGCCTGCTCTTACAAGATCGCAGGTGAGCTGCAGGTGAGCCGTCTGACCTGCAGCTGCCATCATCTATCACATCAGCGGGGGGGCAAAGTCGGCGCCGCATTCCCTTGCTGTGTTCACACACAGCAGGCAGCTAAGTCGGCGCCGCCTTCCTCTGCTGTGTTCACACAAGGTGGCAGTAGATTAGCTAACAATCTGCTGCTGTGGCTGTGGAGCTGGGTTGTGACCTGAAACTAAGAATTGGTATTGCTACTGTGGAAGAATTGAGCTTCCATGATCTCTTTTTCACCGCACAGAAGCACAACACTACCGAGGAATTAATCGTCATAGACAGTATATTCGAGGTCGTTGTGAAGGTCACCTGGTCGACCATGGGGAAACGTTTTCACCCGTTTTTTCATAGCAATAGGAGCTTACTGGGTGAAAATCCTGATGGTCCATGTTTAACTGAATAGAAGCTTGCGCTGACCTGTTGGCAAAGATTCAGATGGTACTTGTAATTGTCTGTTGTGTTTGCATTATGTAGATTTTCCTACCATTTCTGCTGTGTACTCAAGATATATTTTCATGACTTTATCTTAATTTTGGGGTATTAGATGGTTATTACGTATATTGAATGTTCGCAGCCCACAACGCGAAAGTTCCAGCTCATACGAGTTGACTGAAGTCGATTTCATAGCACAATAAAACCAGATCAAGAAGGGTATGTTGCACGTCAGAAATCCTGATAGCCGAGCAAGAGGCTATCCTAAGGGCTAAGGAAATGACTATAGAGCGTGCGTGCGCTCCCTTCCAATAGCAACGAGTCTTCCTTTCCCTTCCCTAATACCATAAGATCTATCGTATTAGATTTAGGCCCGTTCGCTCGACTGTACTCTGTGCACGAAGAGCTCAAGAACGAAGATCCGAGGCAGACCCTTCCAGACATTCCAGAGGGGAGCAGCCGAGCAGGACCAATCCAGTATCCAACAACAAAGACGTGGAGACACCTTTGCCAAAAGAGACAGAAATGGCATCTCTGAACTTCGGCAAATGGAACTCAATTTCACAGTTCACACCATGGGTAATTTTTTCTTTGGTCTCGCAACTATCTTTCTTTGAACAATGGTGGAACGGCATGAGGTAATGCTTTATTGTGGTAACCTCTTGTCTTGTGTTGTGAATTGCGATGCTTCGACTTCCCAATGAGTGACTGTTGTGAAATAGCAAAATCCTTATTAATCTTTTACTTGATTATTCGCCAACGAAGTGATATTGTCGTATGCTGCAATATTCTATATTCATCTGCTAAGACCAGCAGCATCTGGATTCTGGAATATTACAATTGTCAGGTGATGTACTCTGAATCTTGAGTCAGAGCTTATTTTTGATCCTATCGGACCGAACCCAGGGCCCGTAGTTCTTCTCTCCAAAAAAAAAAAAAAACGAGTTCCACCTAATGAACAAAAGCAGTCAATCAGGGTCAACAGACTGCACATCCCACAAATATCCAAATTTGCTGGAAGTAAATATATACAATAATTCACTCTCCAGAACATACAAGTGCCGTTTATATAGATAAACTTTGGCATAGATGATAGACCCAAGCAGGCAAACCAGACTACTTCCATACAGCACCATCGGGGGCACAGTGTGTTTCCTTGATCACCGATATGCAGATTATTGAACATACAGACAAAGGTTAGGGAGGAGCGAATGTATAATATCATATTTACAAGAAGCATCAGCATTTTGAGGCAACATGTGCTGAAACAATAGCTTTCCAGTTTATGGTTCAGATTTCGCCTATTTGCCTGGATGGAAGAAATTCTCCTTCAGCACATGCTCCCACTCTGTAGGTGAACCACCATACTGGTCAACTGGAGAGGAGATTAGGTGCGCTTCCTGAGACCCTTCTGTGCAAACATGAGAGTCCCCAGCAGTTTGAAGCCACACATGGTTTTCATCAAGATTATCTTCACCATGAACTGCGCTTCGATGCTCACTTCGTCAGATGTACCTTTGCACCTCATGGGGGTAGCAACATCTGCTGAACCACCTATCTCCTTTTTCTCCCTAGCACAGTTTCCTCCATCACCAAATTTGTCCAGGCCACCTACTGAATCTTTTCCTCCCAAACGATCTGCCAAATCATCAGTGTGTGTAAACTTAGAGCACTTCTCACTCAGGGTGTCGCTAATGGCTCCATTGGACACAACACCAAGGCCGTCCCCATTTAATTGATCACTACATGCGTCTTGTTGCTCCTTGTTGGCATCACCCATTGAGGTTTCATTACCAGGTCGAGACTTCAAAATTCTCAGCCTAGCCATAACATCATCGTCAATCCCATCTTCCCTATTTGTTCTCATATCCAGTTGTTGCTTGCTGCTTTCCTGTCCCAATAGGGCTGCACTATTAGGATGGGACTCCAAAATTCCCAGCCTAGCCATAACAGCATCATCAACATTATCTGCACTGTCTGTGCTTGCATGTAGCTGGTGTTTGTTGCTTTCCTGACTCAAAGAGGATATATTGTCAGGACGGGACTTCAAAACTTTCAGTCTCACCATAACAGCATCTTCGGCTGCATATGGTCTCTTGCTTGCTTCTTGCTGCTCCCCACAGTCAATCTCACTGAAGGAGTTCACATTATCAATACGGGACTGCAAAACCTTAAATTGGGCAAACACATCAGCATCAACACCATTGAAAATGCTCCTATTTACAACAGGAGATTGCTCGTCACGAGTATCTCCTCCTTGGCCCTGACAAGCCATGCGCGCGTGTAATGGTTTCTTTCCCATGGTTCTGTGGTTTGCTACTGTACATGTATGAGTTAGAGCCTTTACTGCCTTCCAATGAGTCAGGGGCTGCATTGGCAAAAGAAGAAAAACATGAGTATACACAGAATACAAGAACCATTTGAAAATATTAATTTATGTATCCATCTTGCTACTCCCTTCAGCTTACTTCCACAAATGTGTCTTCAGCATTCAAAATTGTCCACAAATGTAAACATTTCTGGTATAATCAACTCCTCCCCTCCCTCATCAATATTTAGAAGCAGTTTTATTTTGGTGGCAAGCATGTTTAGCATCAGTATAATCTTGCTGTCTAAAGTTTTAATTAGCACTTGGCATTTATGGCATCTGTACGAAAGGAAGGCGTTAACTGCATCTCTGTAATCTTGGTGATTGATTGAGGGACATCACAGTAATTTCCCTTCCTCCTAAATATGTCCCAAAAATCCTAGAAATGCATACATTTGTGGAGCGCGGGAGCACCTTTTATTGTGTCGTTGAGGCCTTTTGCTGTCTCGAGCTTCAGGCGAGCATGTTGAAGCTCATATTTGAGTTTACAAGCTGAAGCTTCTGCTTCAATCCACAAGTTTCTATAGATTGACGCCTGAGAAACTTCAGTGTTGACAAGCATCTTATCCTCCTGGTGATTAGTAAGAACCTGAAATGAAAGGTGCAATGTAAGGCACGTACTTCAGAAGAAATGGCTGTATTAATTCAAATTAAGCAGAAGCATGATGTTCCAAATAATGACTAAAGCTACCTGTGAAACTGTGGCCTTAAATTTTGAATCAGCATTCTCCTGTGCTGAATCTTCATGCATTGACCTCCAAAAGTTGTTCCTCGCAGAATTAATATTTTTGAATTTCATTTGACTCGAGTTGCTCAATCCATCATCAATTTTTTGTTCAACCTTGGAGACAGATGAAATGAGTTAAGGCTAGAAACAGAAAGGGATTATCTATTTATATTTAATGTCTGGACTCTGGAGATCAGAAAGCACCATAGAAAGGAAGGAAATGTGCCCATTTCTTGATTCATGGTATAAGTTTGGTTTACATTGCATTATGGAGTAAACGGTATTTGAATAAAAGCATTTCAAGATCATACCTTGCTTCTTTTGGAACTGGCAGCTGTAAGATTTTGAATCACTGATTGCAGAAGCTCCTCTTCATCTTCCTGCAACGAAGAACCACCCTTGCAGGTCGATAGAAGCACTACTGACAGATTGTGCATTAGTTTCAGAAATATTGCCCGAGTGCTAGAGCTGGATTCGGAAGACATATTCAGCATATTCCCCTCAACACCTGGATAACATTGAGAAGGGTCTTCACCTCTTTTGTGAGTGCTTTCTTCTTTCTCCACAACTGCAGAAAAAGTATTTCCATGTGGGCTTCCTGTTGTTAAATGATCTGTATGAACACTAGGAGTAATAGCAATAGGATTCATCACACTTCTACTCATTAGCTCATTTGTGCTTGCTGTAAGGCTGGCACCATGTCCACCCAAAAGTTTTGGTTTGCTGGCAGGACACGAACTTTCCTGTTGACTTGAAGTTATCACATTCTTAGAATCTTCTCCAGAATCATAGCATTTCTGTGTTGTTGTGGAATGCTGTTTGTCAGGAAAATAACTAGCATGAGTAGTCGTGTCATTAAGAACCCTGACATCAATTGGCAGAACTTCTTTATGGTCTTTGGAGATTTTACAACTTTCAGACAACTTGAACGCCTTAAAAGGGTCATTGTCAGAACCCGATGCTTCTTGGTGTTCACAGAATCGCCATGGATACTCAGAACGCAACTCTGGGAGCTTCTGGTTTTGATGTGAATTGATGTAGCCTACTGTTCCTATCACCACAGGAGGAGCGCCATTATTTTCCATGACCCCAAACGAAGGCTGATATGAGGCTGGTGTGCCCTTCCAACAAGGTGAATCAACACTGGTGTTATTGACCTCAGGAAACACAGATGAACATTCGCGAGGCTGAACAAATCCAGACTCAGACGAAGAAACCTTGGAACTGAAACTTCCCAAATCATGTTTCATTTCAGAAGATCCCTGCATTGGTCTCCCATTCCCTAAATGCTCAGGATTAAGGTGGTTCTCCCCAGGAGAATTGAGGGAATAGTTCCCGACTATTGCCTTGTCATCAGGGTTACTCCATTTTCCATGCTGCTTATCAGTAGTTTGGTATCCAAGACCTTTTTGTTCATTCCACACGCAATCAAAATAATCAAGATTGATTCTGCAAGGATTCATATAAGGCGAAAAGGAGAAGGAACTTTCCCCAATAGTGTCATTCATCAATGGAGCGGTTGTATTGGGCATCTCAGATGAATTGACATATCGTGTAGAAAAGATGTGAGATTGTGTATCTGTTGAACATGACGAAAGTTGTGTCATGTATTTGTCATACGTAGAACCAAAAGGATACTGATTTAAATCTTGTCGTGGGGGATAAGGCCCTGTGTCTTCAGCACCTGAATTATCAAGCAATTTACTCACAAAGGCACTCTGCTGCTGATGAAATACTGATGGTCCAAAATCTTTGGTGAGGGCCTCTGAATTCTCTTGGCAGTTTCCTGGCTGCTTCTCATTTACCAAATTCGAGCTCTCTGATCTCAGAGAATGTAGACCAAATAAGTTACTGAAGTGGTTCCTTGAGTATATGCCATAGGGAGTGGACTCGCCTACAATGTGTTCAACGAGGCCATCAGAAAAGTGTAAAGCCACTGTTTGGTTAAAGTCGCATAACTATGTATACCAATCAAATGATTCACTCAGTGCACCTTGTTTGACAAACATGTTTTTACTGCTGCATAAATACAAGGCAATCATGTGCATCTAAGGACGTATTATCTTTTTACCATTTAATAACACCTAGCACTCTCCGGATTTCATGTTAGGACAACACAACTTTACCCCCTGTAATTAGTATATGGAAATTGTCATATAAAGATGCTAAATATCCAGTTAAAACCTTATTGGAAAAGTCTAACAGGATCCTTCATTGCCACCCACCCACACCCAACACAAAACCAAAAGGCTAATCTAGCTGCTACAATTATCTATCCAAAACTGTAATTGTCATAAACAGATGCTAAAAATCCAGTTAACATCTTACTGTGAAAGCCAAAAATGACCTTCACCTGTAACTTGTCAACACCCAACAGAAAAGGATCTGTCTATACAATATTCTGGTGAAAAAATCTCTTCCGGCACCAGATTTTCTGGCCACTGGATGGAGATCGAACGGCCAGGGTCATATTCAGCTTTGAGCAAACTGCTTCTTCCCGAGCTCTACTGTTCCAACGCCACCCCCACGTGCCTCCACCCTGCCGCAGCAGGCTAGGGTTTTGCTGAAGCCAGCATGGAGCTCCAGCAAGACACTAGCCCGCATGCAGCAGCCACCTCCTTACCCCTACCTCCACCGCCAGTGTCAGCCCGGCCTCAACTCCACTCACCAGAAATCCTCCACTGCCGGGCCAGCGGCGCCATCAACACCTTGCCTCACTCCAGCCCACCACAGCCGCCGGGCAAGGAACTCCATCCCCCAAACCCAACCCCAAACCCCAAACACCAAACTCTAATAGTCTAATCTCTTTTTTTAAGGCAATCTAATAGTCTAATCTCAACAGAGCTCTCACCAGATTTGGGGAGGACAAGGTTGTGCCATTCATTTATTTGCCAAAAACAACTGGGTGCTGCCACCCGACAGAACCCCCTAGCATTCCCCAAACCAAACGGCCAATCTAGCCGCAAGCTTATAAGGGTGTCTTGCTCAAACCACCAGCTCTGGTGAAATTTTATTGGGCGCAGAGGAGAGAGACCAACGAGCTAGCGCTGCCACAGTCGCTAGTCTGGCACGCCGAAAAAGCTCCCTCTCTCAGCTCTGGCATACCTCTGCTCTCCACTTCTCCTTTTTTTTAATTGTTTTCAGCTTTCAACTCTGACTGGCGATTTGGTCATCCCGTTGGGGACGCCCTAAAGTATCTATCCCAAATTCCCAATGGTGTAAAGATGAAAATCCATTAATCTAGCTGGGAAGTTTCAGTTATCCATCAACGTGTGTAAAGGTGAAAATCCATTAATCTAGCTGGGAAGTTTCAGTTATCCATCCCAAACTGGTTTGAAAAGCATACCCGCTCTGGTAGGGATGGATACGCTGGTGGCTGGTCCGTCTCAGCAAACAATCACATGAATTGTACATAACACATGAAAAAAAAAGGCAATAGCAGATGCAGCTCCCAAGTCCCAAGGCAATAAGGCATCGCATCTAACACCCACCGATCACACGTGAACTAGTGAGTAGTGACGGTGCTTGAGATACCGACACGGAGACGGGTAGTTTTGTTAGCTGTTACTGTACCTTTATAACCCGGCGGCGTGGCGGCGGGGGCCATGTAGCTCGCGGGAGGCTCCATCCACGACACGGCGCCCCAGTCCCCGCCCGCAGCGTAGACGGACGGTGCGGTGGGCAGATCACGCCCGGGGCCTGGGCCCGGGCCCGGGCCCACCGGATCAGCGGTGGGGAAGGGCGCGGCGGATGGGGAGAGGGAGGAGGAGAACACCGGTCGAGACGTCGGCGGCAGCGGAGAGCGCTGGTGGTCGCCGGAGTACGGCAGCATCGCGGCGGGCGGTGGTGGCGTGCGGGTGGGGAAAGTGGCACGGGGTTTGGTGGGGACGATGGAGTGGTGTGGCGTGCGATGGGGAAGGTGAGGTCTGGTCTGGTACTCTGGTGCGCGACGTGTGCGTTTCTGGCGGAGCAGAGGAAGTAGTTGGATGGACCGTGATCGGTTGAGCCCAGAAAAATATGGGCTCAGGCCTCAGCCCTCATGGGTGCGCCAGCAGGAAGTGTGTACACTTTTGGGCCAGGCCGTATCTTTGATCAGGGTGCCATGTGAATGAACCCAGAAAGATGGCTAGATCTGAATGAATGTCTTTGATCAGGGTACCATCTTGATAATCTTCCCCTCAAAACAAAAAAAACCATCTTGATAATGTACAACTTGCCCTTGATAGACCTGAATGAATGTCTGGTTCCTAAACCATGACGGACTGGAGCTTAGATCTGAAAGTGGCAAGCATATGCAAGTGTGCAGGAAAGAATGGATTATTTCTTATATATGTAATCTGATGATATCTGAGATATCTCGTGGTGATAACAAAGAAATAGGCTGCGTGACCATGAACAGAAAAAGAAAAGTTCAGAAAGACAGGGGTACACATGGGACGCATGCACGCACGCATGGACGAATAGCTTCGTCGGTAAGTCTGAATTCGTCACTTCCTTTATGCTGTTTTCTCTTGCTTTTCAATTATTATATTGTTATATGTTATACTATCATTCCTTCAGATGTACTGTACGGTAGAAATTTTAAGGCCGAGCGCCATGCTAATTCCTGAGGGGAACCACACTCCCTTGGCTCTTTGAAGTAGAGTATGGAATTTCCTTATCACTTTAACTATGATGCTAACTATGAATCTCTTCCAAACAACCATTTACAGAAATGTAAGAATAAGGATCTGCTCAAAAGGATGTGTAGTGGTGTGCTATGTTTTTTCCTTCGACAGTTAAGATTAAGAAACTTGGAATGAATGGCTGCTGTTTATAGAAGATATACAGTTTCAATGCACAACCCAACCTTCAATAAAGGAAAATAATTATGTATGAACCTATATATACTTGAGTTTACAGAGACACGACAAAAGCATTAGCTAATTTTTGACAATCTTATTGTTTTCCCCATATTCTTGCACGTGGGACCGACACTGCAAGCCCGCAAGCACTTGCATGGAATGGACATGCAGAAAGGAAGAACAACTTTGCAGATGCAGATGATGCACTGCGTGCGCGAGGAGGGAGGGATGCCATTTCCTAGTGTTCTTCGACCAAGAGCCTGCATAAAACCGCATGCTCCCCCCCTGTTTTGGTACATGCTCCAGCCAGACATGGCGGACGTGGTCTCTGACCTGGTCCTGTCCTTCTTCTGCTGCTGCTTCTACGCTCCCGGTGACCACCACCGCGGCGTCGGCACGCACCACCACTACAGCGGCGGCCACGACCACCCGACCGGCCGCAATGCGGCGTATCACCACCGCGGTGCCGGCAGCCGTAAGGTGAGCGGCCGGAGCAGGTCCCTGTCCCTGCAGGTGCGCGAATCAACTCCAGACTTTTTTTTTTCGAATTTCATATGAGACTGCTGGCTCGTGAACGGTGACTGGACTAACCAGAGCTGAACTGCATCCAGACGGTGGAGCTTAAGGTGAGGATGTGCTGCGAGGGCTGCGAGAGAGTCGTACGACAAGCCCTCCAGAACCTCCGAGGTACACACACGACACGCATGCTCTGTTTGTTCTCCGGGTCAAGCAAAAATCGTATCGGACAGTGACATGGTCAGCACGAAAGATCGAAGCACACGGGCTGTGCGATCTTCTAATCTTACAGATCCACACATTTTTTGCTGTATATGTCACTATACAGGAGTGGACAGAGTGGATGTGAACGTGCCAATGGAGAAGGTGACGGTGACCGGGTACGTGGACCGGGCGAGGGTGCTGCAGGAGGTGCGGCGGAGCGGGAAGAAGGCGGAGTTCTGGCCGAGCGGTGGCACGCCGCTGTGGTTCACGTCCCCCAGGAGCTACTTCCGCGACGACGGCCGCTCGTACCGCCGCGACAGCTACAACTACCACCGGCACGGGTACAGCGACGGCGACCGGCACGGCCGCATGCGCGAGCCCGCCCGCGGCGCCGGGCCCGTCGGCAACATGTTCAACGACGACGACGTCAACGCCGCCTGCCGGATCATGTGACCCATGCGGATGTTGCCGTTGCTCTGCCAGTCTGGTTTCAGTTTTTCGCTTCTCATGGGCTCGGTGCAATGGATCGTGAGTTGATCCAAATGGTGGACCATACCTACCTTCAGTCTGTTCGTTTCAATAACTAAACGATCATGGATTATTTACTGATGACTGGTTTGGTGTGAGAGAAAGAAAAACACTATTCCAACTTATAATCCACGATCGTATACGAGCATGTGAATAGACTGAACTTATATGTCCCTTTTTTGAATGAATCTCTTTCCCTAATTTGATCCAATATGAACTCATCGATCCAAATTGATGCCGCACGTATCAGAGAATAGCGGTGTGACTACAGTTGTTACTATCCGAAAACTTCGCTTTCTAGTAAAAGAAATTAATGATCAAAATATATTTATTTGATTTTTTTTATGATCCAAAGACATCCTTTGGATGTGTTTATATAGGAATAGTGTGTGTACATACATTTATAGGGTTGTGTATCAACCATCTACCATTCTCTTTATTTCTGTATACCAAATCTTGCACTCTAGGCAGCCACGTCGCCCCGCCTTCCTTGCTGTTGATTTGGTCCTGCCCAGAAGGCCAGCACCGTTCGTTTTCCTGCCTCCACAAAAGCCCACGTGTGCCTCTTCGAAACTTCCTTCTCCATATTCTCTGCCTCCACCGGTCCACGCGCGCCTCCTCGAGCCTTCCTTCTGCCTCTTCCCGATAAACCCAACGCCCGACCAAAAGGAAAAACCGCGCTCTCTTCTGCTACGCCCACCTCCGCCGCCGCCGTCTTCGGCTCCCCGAACAACGCCATAGGCCAACGCCACCGCAGTCTCAGAGGGACCGCCTCGGCAGCCGTTGGCCTGGCGGAGCGCGGAACGCGGCGCTCCGGCGCAGGAGGCAGCCACACCAGAAGCCGCACAAACCGGAGAGCGACCCACGCCGGGGTGGCAGCGAGTGGCGCCGCAGCACCTGGTGGTGTGCTGGGACGAGAGGAAGGCACGCCGCCACACCGCCACGCCAGCCACCCTTTCTCCCGCGCAATTTCCTCGCCGTCATAGCTCGACCAGGCAACACGCGCGACCCCTGCGGCATGGGCGAGCGCGGGAGCCTTGCAAGATCCAACAGCGCGCATATCGGGCGTAGGTCCAATTACTGTTCAATGTGAGAAATTTTGGCCCTCTTTCCGGTCCTAGGGTTCGGTGGGGGTGGATTTCAAATCCAACTTCTGTGGATTTTGATTCTTTTGTGCATACCAACAAATTTTGGGCCGTCATGCTCTGGGGTTCTCTGGGGTTGGATTTGACCTTTTCGGGATTTTAATTCTTTTTGTGCAGACCCAGGAGTGGAGGAGGCACCTGTTGCTTACAGCTCTAGGGCTGCTACACGTGGACGGTTTATGAAAAGAGCTTTAGCATGAAATAGATCATCAAAAATCTAAAACCTTACACTTATTTCATTCTACCTTTGGTTTGATTCTGAACCTTTCTTTTCTCTCACATTCATATATGTAGATTCGTAACTCACTTTAAGTAAAAATATTGTGTGCCTATGCAGCTCAGGTTCCCATTTCAATTTAGTTCTTGCGTTATTGATCATGTGAGGCAGCAGTTGTCCCTGCCCGTTGATTTATTTATGGATTTAACGAACATGACTAAAATTACAAAGGCCATTTGGATTTCTTTTACATGCAGCCACGCAATCCCTGACCACAGACTCATTCAGTCATCCCCAACCAGGTACATCATGTCTCCTCTCTAAAAGTTTACAGTGGATCAGCCGGCTTTAGATGGTGTGCACGGATGTTTCTTACAAGCGGATTTCTTTTCGGTTTGTGCTTACTAGAGTATGATGAGTTCACGACCACTTTGATAATCAGAACTTGCAGGCGTACAACATAAGTAGTCCTGTGTTTTGTTGCACTAAGGTTGAGGTGGTAAAGATGTGCGATAATTTCAGTTGCCATGCACTAAGCTACATATAAATGCTCAATGCATATTTCGGGTTTGCATAGAACAATCATTTCAGAGTCATTTCATCACTGCTACTTATCCTGATTTCTTTGCAGTTCGTTGCATCTGTCTTCCTATGCCCAAAATCTAAATTTATATGTGCCCTTTAGTGCTACTTTACTTTGCATGATTGAGAACTTTTAGCTTCGTTCCATCACTGCTACTTATCCTTATTTATTTGCAGTTCGTTGCATTTGTCTGCCTGTGCCCACCAAGCCTAAATTTATATGTGCCGTTCAGTGCTACTTTGCATGCTTGAGAACTAATGGAGACGGGGATCCCGATCTTCCGTCAGGTGATGGTAACTATCGTTGTGGCGGAGAATGACACACCGATCCGGCTTCAGATCGAAAGATCGAAGCCTGCAATCTTAGCACCACAGCTCCTCTAGTTATCAACCGAGTCATGGACCAGGTTGACCTCGCCAAGAAGGCTAATCCCTGCCTGCGCAACGAAGAACACAAGCAAGAACAAGAAAGAACGCAACCAAATTGCAAATGTATGATTAATCTCACGAGTTGGGGTCTCACAAACCGAAGAACGGCGAAACTGTTTCTTGACAGAATAATCTAAGCAAAACCCAAACCTTAAAGTAGGTGGTGGCTACTGATTATATAGCCTAAGGGATGTCCAAAGATCTCTCTTCACGTCCTAAAGGTGTCCCAACACGTTACAAGGCCCAACGGCCCAAAAGAAGGTGTTGCAGCACCCTGACAGATTCTGGACGCTGACTTATTTTGAAGATTCCCGTTGATTCCGAAGAGCTTTTGGTGTGAAACCACTTGGATTGGCTTCCTTATCAAATTATCTTTCCATCCATATGTGGATCATCGAAAACGGAGTTCGGATGCGTCCTGGGCGTCCGTTTTATTGCAGACTGGTCCTGATGGCCGAGGCAGACTCGAACTCGGATTGGACTGGGCCTCTGGCTTGGCTTGGACGTCCTTGCTGGCCTCCTAAGGTGGTGGCCAAGGAGGAGGACGTCCAAGGGCTTTCTTGGTGGGTTCTCCAAGTCCTTGGGGTGTGCTCCCACTTGGGCGAGCGTCCCAAGGATGAATAACAAGCCCATAACGATAGTGTAGCTCCCAGCAGAAACAGCGACAGAATATATTGGCGATTTGGAGGCCTTGCCGATGTGATATTGAGATGGAATCAGATCTATTTGAAAGCTTATCAAACAAGCTTTCCATCAAGTGCTCATTGACCTCGATCGCACTCCGGATGGATGAGTTATGGCCTTCCCAATGAGGCACTATCGGACTGCCGACGAACCGAAAGTTCAACTTTGATGAACTTCCATTATGAAACACATTTGAACCTACAATCAAATAGTGACATGTACATGTGGAACCAAGTGAATTATAACCAAAGCCACTATGCAAATGTAGGAACGAGCGCACCTTATAATCATTGTTCGTATCCGAAGGTGCCATGTCCTCATCAAGAACTTTCACCTTCCAGCTACTGTGTATGCACACTGAATAAAAGCACACTGTACCATTTTTGCAGGAGCTGTTTTACAAATGCCTGAGTCAGGCGGTTTAAATATTTAAAAGGTAAGCAGCTACCTTTCTGTTCAAATTTTTTTTTTTTTGGGACCTGCTCCAACTACCCATTTCACTTTGTTCACTTTCCAAGTTCTCCACATGATTTCCTAATTTGGAAGGAGATAGAGCCTCGGCTTCTTTGATCATGGGTACAAAAATATTGTAAGCCCTTCATGTTAATCCAGTTCCTTTCACAGCTGCTGGACTGCATATTTTGGCACTAGCATATATTTCTTTTACCTCCTTTTCTTGCACAAGATCTTTCATTATGATCTGTAAACCAACAAGTGCAATACTTCTGGTTCAGAGTGTTAGGCTTGCACCAGGTTCATAGAACTTCGTATGTTGCTACTGTTGGAGCTCAAAATTGAAGTAAGATTTACCGTATTCCTTTCCCTTTTATGTTGGTGAGGATCTTGCCTCTATTTTGTATAAGCTCCTACCGTTGCCTCTCAACTCTCTATTTATATGGACTTTGCATTTTACACTTTTCTGCATTGTGATTCTAACCTGAACTAGAAAACCTTCTCCCCCTTCCCACCCACCTATATGGCTATATTGCTCTTAAGACCATTGTACATGACAATAATTGAGCTCTGCAGTTGAGTTTACTATCTTCCGGATATATTACACTAGGATCCTTCCTTACAAAAACATGTCTAATCTTTTGTGCCAGTCTAAAACCCTGTCAAATATGATGAATTTATTGCCAGTACTGCCTCTATGTGATGACAGCCACCAGAAATATATACTAATATATTTTCTTTGTCAACAAGTTTGAGTACAGGAGGGTATCATCTGCATATCATGTTTGTTCAGTAATTGATCCCAGATATCAACATCAACCTACGACAGCTACAACTGAATTCTTATCCTATACAAAAATAGGACGATCATAACTACTCTCTACAGTTACTCCAAACTAACCAAACCTTCTTAATTTTTATAATCATCCTTATTTTGTAATGTGCAATGGTCCTGAATTTGAATCCACTTTCATGGAATGATTCATATTTAAATCATGACTACGATGACTCCCGCGGCAACGTGCGAGGTACTGACTAGTATGTATATAAGTGTCTATGTTGTACTATAATTTGCAAAAAAATATATATACTTATCATATAGGGATGAAGGGATTAATTATTTAAGATGACAAGCATGAGCTTATTTTTACATAATTTCAATTAATGTTTTTTAATCTAATTTTAATTAATGTTAAGATAGTTTGACTAGATGTTAGTATTATCGAATTGCATTTAGAATTTTAGATAGGTATAAGATTGGGACTCAAACCTTAGACAAAAAGAGAAAATATTTATTATTGCACAATCCTCTATCTCGGCAGGACATCAATGCAAATTCTTGCAATTGCAAGTAAGACATTGCTTCTACACCAAAATAAAAATCGATTCTAAAAACTGTTGTCAAGTCCAAGCTGGAAAGAATTTTTCCTTTTTTTCCTTTGATGACTCCTCCAAAAACAAACGTAATTATAGATTCAAATCAAATCATTTTTAAATTTGACTGAGTTTGTAGAAAATAATATTACCATTTATTTCTCTATTTATTATAAAAATAAATTTCATCATTAATCTAATGGTACATTTAGTATCATAAATTTTAGTATTTTTATAAATTTTATTAAATTTTAAATTGTTTGAGTGAATTGCTTTTTATATGGAGGACGTAGATAGTAACACCGTTTGCATTATTATTCCCTAACTTTACCAAAATTTTGTCAACCTCCTATAAATTATAAATCGAAAAAAAAGAACTGACCACACACGTCCGAACATGGTGAGATCCGAAGCCGACGAGGTCGGCCACCGCACGGCACATGTGTCACCGGACCGCGCCAGCGCAGGAAAGAGTTTAAGGGCTCGTTGAGCGTCTCCCCTAAAGTTTACTTCATATTGAATATGTTGGAAGGTTAAATATAGACTAAAAAATAATTAATTATATAGTTTACGATTAATTTGTGAGACGAATCTTTTAAGTCTAATTAGTCCATAATTTGATAATGTTGTGATACAGTAATACATATGCTAATGATGGATTAATTGAGCTTAATAAATTCGTTACGTGGGTTATCGACGGATTCTATAATTTATTTTTTTATTAATATCCAAACATTTCATATGACATTTTATATGACACCCAGAACTTTATGCCCTAAATTTAAAAAGGTCCAAACTAATCTACCACCAGCTGGACGGGAGCGCCCCTTTGCGCGAGCTCTTCCATGCGCCTGTCCATGCACCGTCCCCCGTGCTCCCGCTCCCCCCTGCCTGGTAACACTGTGGACCAGTTCCACGGAGGGGAACGCCCGATCCTGCACATGTGTCCCCCGCCTGCCTCCCCCGGATCCGGTCACCGCCCCGGTGGGCGTCATCCCCCATCACACCACGCACGCACGCAACTCGAGGCCCAGCCAGGGGCCTGGGCCTGGCCAAGGCTCGAACTTTCTCTCCTTCTCGGCTTGGCTTCTCCTTCCTTCCTCTTCCTCCCCCCTCCACGCGATCGAAACCGAAAG